TCTTGCGATGAGGTACAACTGACCGTGACTGAGGAGTGCCCACACCAGAGATAGAAGGGTGAGGATCGTCAGGGTTTTCTGCACTATTATTGATATCCTGGTCATTCCTTTCGGTCACTAACTGGTCAAAGCCAAAGAATTTGTCTTTATTTCCACTTCCATCAGAGTCAGAACTATCAGATAGGAAGAGGAGAGTCCCAATTTTCCTTGGAGTGAGAACTGCCTTGCGACGAGGCATGATGAACAAAGGTAACTGAGCCGGTGTTTCCACAATGCTATGCGGGCGCCTAGAATTTTTGTTTATGGCGCACACACACCACACAGACCCGTTCTCTCACATGTAGGCCTACCAGTGTTTTCGCGCTAAATTTGACGCCGCTAGAATTTTGGCATAGATCTACGGTTTGGACCCTGAACGTAAAGCCGTAGATCTATGGGACGGACCCTGAAAGGGTTAAGGAAATGTGTGCAAAGTGGGTTGAACTGCAAACCTTTACGGATGAAAATCACCCTGACACAGCTACTGCAAGCTGTGTTGGCAACCTGTACAATGACAATGTTATGGCCCATTTTAGGAAAGTCTTAAAGGAACGGGAGGTACAGAGCTCTATGGACAGATTTATTGTGCAACAGAGGTCCAGTGACTCAAGCTGGTCCTAGTGGCATTAAAAGAAGAAGGGAAGTAACCCCAGAAAAGGACTTGCTACCTCAAGTCCTAATGGAAGGGGATTCCCCTTCTAAACAATAACTTCCACACTCTCCCCTTCTCCCATCCCATCAATCATCACCAGATCTTCAATAAAGGTAAGTGTCATGTATTCTATTCTTAGTAGAGTAGTAATTGTACATGTCTTCTTCAGTTTGTGTGTATTAAAATTAATATTTCATGTGGTAAAATTTTTTTTTCATACTTTGGGGTGTCAGGAACGGATTAATTTGATTTCCATTATTTCTTATGCTGAAAATTAATTCGGCTAACGATAATTTCAGCTTACGATGAGCTCTCAGGAATGGATTAATATCGTAAGGCAGGGGTCCACTGTACTCAGTGTTTAACATGTCATATATTGTCAAAGCTGCACTTACAAGCTCCACTTGGATTCCATTTCAGTGTGGTGAAAAACTTTTTAGTATCCCATCAGCATTAACTTTTCATACCAAAACACAACTAATAACACGAAAACTACTCTAGAAAATGACCCAAAGTTGTAAATTTAACCCAGACACACTGTCAGAGGTTAGCTGTTCCCATCATGCACTGGGGGGAGAGCGGAAGAATTTTTTTATACTGCACACACCCATTCTCTCATGTCTAAGCCAAAATATCAGAGCTTATTTCTTGGGTGGCATTGAAAATTGGGTTGGGCAAATATTTTGTTAGTGGGATGGATTGTAAAGGACTTGCCTAGTATGGGCCAACAGGCCTGCTGCAGTGTTCCTCCTTTCTTATGTTCTTAAATCTGCCACTCACAATACATTTAGACATACATCTGTGGTGGAATTTATTCCACTGGCTTTATGCCTTCTCCCTGTCATAGTGACCCTAGGGTCACCATGACAGTTATCTCCTCTCTACCAAGTGGGGAGGGAGGGGGGGTTTAATGACTATCCCTCATCTCAGAGTAGAAGCCATAGAATGCCATATCTCACCCTTTTTATCATGTCTAAATTTTCAATGGCTCAGTTTTAGAAATGAGAGCTATGTCTCACCATATATGAAAACCTTAAATTTATGACTGTCTTAGTGACTGACATTTTCACATGTCAACAGCACTTAATTAGCTCTCCTTGTTGCCAATAATGGCAGCTGAGCCTAAGGAAGGGCAGGGCTGGCACTTCGAGCAAGCCAAGTTTGAATTGCCCATGGTCAGTTTTTAATTTGGCACCATGTAGGACACACACAGCATGGGAGCACATGAAGGCTGGGCTCCCAATTCCCCAATGTCTATTTAAGGACAAGTGTGAGAGGGTATCGAAACACATTTAAGTGATTTAGTAGATCTCTGGACCTAAGCTGGAGTTCACAATCAGAGGAATGAGCTGTGACCTTGTGGGTGTTGTTCGTGCATGGGTTAAGCTGAGTGAGTGTCACCTATAGTGAGTTGGTAACAGATATGATGACTGCTCATTTAGCAGGACAAAAGTTGATGGGTGACTTGTGCTGATGTCTTAACCCTTAAACTGTCCAAACGTAGATCTATGTTCACATGTGTAGTGCTCTGACCTTGATTTTCCCCATTTGAAAGCATTTAAAAAAAAAAAAACGTAGATCTACATTCGGAGCCCCCCTGCACGTGGACGCAGATCTGCGTTTGGACAGTTTAAAGGTTAAGTACCACACTGAGTCTCCAGGCAGGTGAGACCTAAGGAACGTAGGTCCATTTCCCCACCTTGTTCATTAAGTAGACTGCAATCCATAATCTTGTGCAAGGTAGGTAGGGACCTAATTGAAATGGTGTTGGTACAGAGCCCAATAGGAGTCAGTCCCAAAGCTGATCAAGTGTCATTTGCCACATATGTATAACCATTTATGTGTCAGCTCCATGTTCCATTCAGTGACTAAGTGTACTGGATTACTCTGCCTGGTAATGGACCAGGTACCAGGTGTTATCAAGGACATCATACTGATAAGTAGCCAGTGTCCAGTATACATACTTGGTTTGACAGTCACGTTGTGAAGGAAATAAATACCACGTTAAGAGTTTGTGGGAAGGCTGGCAAGTTCTAGGTGATAAAGGTGGCTCTAATTAACAGAGTCGGTCACCTACAAACACCTAAGGGAAAATCCTGCACAGCATCTGCCTGTGACACTAATCTCACAGACATAAATCTATACCTACATAAGTGACAGTGAAAGGGTTAATAATACTATAAATGTTGACTCTAGCTGCACTTGCATAGTAGTATTAGCTGGTGGTTTGCTACATTTTTACCAATACACTCTTTTTTTAATGAAAATTTTAAAAAATACCATGTAATTGTGTGCCTTTTTGCCTTCTGTTACTAACCTTCTACTCTCTTATTTATTTTATGTATGCTAAAGCCACTTAATATAGTACAGTCACTTAGTATCACCTAATCAACATGAGAAATTCTGTTGAATAAAATATCTCAATCCTTTTTTATTTATTTATTTATTATAAATTTGTGCACACATACAGAGGTACAAAAAAATACAGATAAGAGCAGTATGCCAAAGCCACTTATACTATGCATAGCATTACGGGCTGGCTTAAAATTAACTTAAGATTAATTAAGCAATGATGAAGTCAGTGATAAAACATTAATGTAAACAGATTACTATAAAGCACAAGTGAGTATTACAAAGACAGGTCATATGAAGGATTCTGTTAGGTAGTGTATTTAAAAAATAATAAAGTTAGATTGGGTTTTAGGTTTAACATTTATGTGATATAATTGTGAGAAACATTTAAGATATACAATTTATAAGGTTCAGTTATTCAGTATTTATTTGGTTTTGGGTGAGTAAGTGATCTTTGAGTAGAGACTTGAATTTATAAACAGGTAGTGTTTCTTTTATATTTACAGGTAATGAATTCCAGATTTTAGGGCCTTTTATGTGCATTGAGTTTTTTGCATAGTGTGAGATGAACACGAGGAACATCAAAGAGTGATCTGTGCCTTGTGTTATGGTCATGTGTTCTGTTGAGGTTGGCAAGGAGATGTTTGAGGGAGGGTTAATATCAGAGTTAAGTGTTCTATGTTATGTAATAGGTGCAGTAATAAGTATGGATGTTTTGTATGGTGAGTAGGTTTAGTGTATTGAATATTGGTGGAGTGTGCTGCCTGTAGTGAGAATTTGTTATCATTCTAACTGCAGCCTTTTGTTGGGTAATTAGTGGTCTGAGATGGTTAACTGTTGTTGAGCCCCATGCACAAATTCCATAGGTGAGATAGGGGTAAATAAGAGAGTGATATAGGGCCAGGGGGGCTGACTGTGGAACATAGTACCGTATCTTCGATAGTATGCCTACAGTCTTGGAAATTTTCTTAGAAATTTGTTGTATATGTGTATGAAATTTGAGTCTATTATCAAGGTGGATTCCTAAGAATTTTCCCTCTGTTAGCTTTGTGATAGGTGATCCGTTTATCATTATGTTAAGAGGGACATCTGTAGCTCTGTTACCAAACTGAATGAAGTAGGTTTTGTCAATGTTTAGTGTAAGTTTGTTAGTCCTCATCCAGGTAGATATTTTCTGTAATTCGGTATTTACAGTATTGGCTAGTGTGACTGGGCTCGGGTGAGAGAAGACGTATGTAGTGTCATCTGCAAATAGTGTGGGTTTGAGTAATTGCGAAGCATTTGGAAGGTCATTTATGTATAGGAGAAAGAGAAGAGGGCCAAGGACACTTCCCTGTGGGACACCAACTGTAATTGGTTTTCGCAGAAGAGTTTGCCCCATTTGCGTACACATATTGGCTTCTGTTGCTGAGGTATGACTTGAGGTAATTGAGGGAGTGCCCTCTTATACCATAGTGTGACAATTTTACGTGGAGCAAGTCATGGTCAACTGTATCAAAAGCTTTACGTAAGTCAATGAAGATCCCCAGTGGGACTTCTTTTTTCTCTATTGCAGTGTATATATGTTCTAGCATGTGTATAATAGCATCATTAGTATTTTTATTAGGCCTGAATCCAAATTGGCAGGGGTTGAGTATGTTCTGGGAGATAAGGTAGGAGTAGATTCGTTTATGAATTAGTTTTTCAAAGATTTTTGAGAGAGGGTGTAAGTTGGATATTGGCCTATAATTATTCAACTCTGTTTGGTCTCCTCCTTTGTGGATCGGGGTGACCCTTGCTATTTTGAGTACTGTAGGGAAGGTGGAATGCCTGGGAAACTGCATAATATCACTGTCAAGATTTAGGAGATACTAGGGAAGTAAAGCATTAATTAATACAATAATCATACAGAAAATGATACAGTATAATACAATATTATAGAATAGTGTGACATAGATAATGCTATATTAAGTCTTACCAGTATCATCTTTGCTAATCAGATCTCTTCTCTCTAGTCCTACAAATGTTTCCACATGTCCAGGCACTTCCAGTCCATTCATAGACAATACATCTTCAGCATCTTGGGTCTCTTCTTTGATGTTTATCTCTGGGATGCTTACTTCTTGCTTTACTTTTGCATCCTCTACAATTTCTAGTTTTGTACTTATTTTTAAAAGTTCCTGGAATAATTTTCTGATGAAATTTATATGAAAACATTACCAAACATCAAAGATAATAAAAATAAAAAGAAGCACAAATTCAATAAACTTGACAAGCTCAACTATCTTTAGAAAAACACAAGTAATTTTTTTGTCTGGAAGTCCTGAGACAGAGGTTTCCTATTCTAGCAATAAATACAATAAATACCAAGCTGGCTGTTGTTAAAAGACTGACTGATACATTTTAAATTGTCCTTCTTATCTATAGCAGGCCATACCTCCCACTTCCATCATAAGAATTTTTTTATTAGGATTATTAGACCAGGTTAGTAACCCAGAATAACCCAGTAAGACCATGCCATCAGGATGTCTTGCTTATTTTCATTGGGACCCTTAATCCTCTCCCCTGCTAGGATGCAATCCACACCAGTCACCTAATGCCTAGGTACCTACTTACTACTAGCTGAACAGGGGCAGCAAGTGCAGGAAAACATGCTCAACATTTCCACTCATCCAGGGATCAACTCCAATCTCTCAGTGTAAGCTGAGATCACTACCAATTAGCCACAAACTATAAAAAAATTTCAATCATAAGAAGCCACATAACTAAAAGAACAATGTCAAGTAAAGAGGTCCTCAACTCTTCAATCTTCTAACAGCAGCTGTGATACAATATTACCAGCACAAATGTAGAGTTCTTCAAGAGGAAACTAGACAAGTCTTCTGCAGGCACTGCTTGATCACTCAGAAGACTGTGAGAGAGTGCAGGCCTGCAAGCTGCAGGTAGCAATAGACTAATTGATCAATACCTGGAGTATACCTAGAGGGTGTTTTGAGGGTCAATGCCCCCACGACCCAGTCCATGACCAGGCCTTGTGGTGGATCAGGGTCTGATCAATCAGGCTGTTACTGATGGCCGCATGCAAACCCATGTATGATCCACAGCCTGGCTAGTCAGGTACTACTGACTTTAGGTGCCTGTCCACCACCCTCTTGAAAACAGCCAGGGGTCTATTGGTAATCCCCCTTATGTATGTTGGGAGGCAGCTGAACAGTCTTGGACCAGTGACATTTATTATGTTGTCTCTTAGCATACTCATGGCGCCCCTGCTTTTCATTGGGGGGATGTAGCACCACCTGCCGAGTCTTTTGCTTCCATAGGGAGTGATTTCCATTTGCAGATTTGGGACTAATCCCTCTAGGATTTTTCAGATGTATATTATCATGTATTTCTCTCGCCTGCATTCCAGTAATTTAGGTGCTTTATCATACCTATACGTGCAGTGAAAGTTCTCTGAATATTCTCCAGGTCTGCAGTTTTGCCTGCCTTGAAAGGGGCCATTAGTGCACAGTAATATTCCAACCTAGAGAGAACAAGCAATTTGAAGAGATTCATCACTGGCTTGACATCCCTAGTTTTGAAAGTTCTCATTATCTATCCTATCATTTTACTAGCAGATGTGGTAGATACATGTTGTGATCTCTGAAAATGAGGTTCTCTGACTTTATCATTCCCAGGTCCTTCACACTAGTTTTTTGCTCTATTGTGTGGTTGGAATTTGTTTTGTACTCCAATCCAGGTTTTATTTCCTTGAGTTTTCCATAGAGGAGTAATTGAAATTTGTCTTCAATGAACTTCATATTATTTTCTGAGGCCATATTATTTTCTGAGGCCCATTTAAAGACTTGGTTAATGTCCACTTGGAGATTTGCTATGTCCTCGATGGCTGACACTGGTATCATCAGGAGAGGAGGGCATGGTGCTGTGGCTTACAGCTCTGTCTATGTCAAATATGAAGATGAGGAAAAGGATTGGAGTACTGTACCTTGAAGAGCAGGTCTTTTCACTGTAGCTGCCTCTGACTTTATTCTGTTTACCATTACTCTTTGTGTTGTATTTGTTAGGAAGTTATAGATACATCTACCTACTTTTCTTGTTATTCCCTTATCATGCATTTTGTGTGCTATTACACCATGATCGCACTTGTCGAAGGTTTTGCAAAGTCTGTGTATGCATACTATACCTGCATTTTGTTTGTCCTCCAGAGCATTTAAGACCATGTCATAATGGTCCAGTAGTTGTGAGAGGCAGGAGCTACCTGCTCTAAACCCATGCTGCCTTGGGTTGTACAAATGATGGGTATCTAAGTGGTTGGTGATTTTGCTTCTTAGAACCCTGTCAAAGATTTTTGTAATGTGGGACAATAGTGCTACTGGTCTGTAATTCTTTGCAATTACTTTACTGCCACCTTGGTGGAGCGGGGCTATATCTGTTGTTTTTAGTGACTGTGGAATGACCCCTGTGTCTATGCTCCCTCTCCATAGAATATTTAAGGCACATGAAAGGAGTTGCTTACAGTTCTTGATGAACATGGAGTTCCACGAGTCTGGGCCTGGGGCAGAGTGCATGGGCATGCCATTTATTGTTTTTTTTCAGTCCTGTAGTGTTAGGATTATGAGAAATTCTTGAAATTCTTAAATTAATCAGATTTTGAGTCTCAGTCATAAAAAATTCACTTAGATTGTTGGCCCTTAGTCTGGTACGTGAGAAATTTAAAATATATAGCCAATAAAATACACAAAATTTTTGCACCTATACCTCTGCAGCTCTTTACAAAGCCTATCATGACCCAGGAACAGTGTAGACCTCTGGCTACACCTAACTGCTTGCTTTGTGTGTTGTGGAGATAGTTCATTTTGTTTGCAGTATGGAAATGATAGCTGTATTTGTGATAGTTTATTTGCTGTGAAGTTGTGATAGTTTAGTATGTAATGGTTACCACAGGCATAACACCGGACACAAACATCTCTATGACATTCCCCGTGTCCAACTAAACCTTTACAAAAACTCAATGTATGTCAAAGGCCCTAAAATCTGGAACACTCTATCTGAAAACTCTAGAACTGCAGACATATTCATTACCTTCAAAACTACTGTTAGAAAACATCTTATCTCCCTGAAACACCCCATCAACTAACTACATAAAAACCACCTGGTGGTCCACATTTACACTCACTCACTCACCCATTTGACTATAAGCACAGAAATACGTATCCTAATCTTAAAATAATGATTCCTAACTAGTCATAAGTTTGCCTGTGATACTCCAATATAGAAACTATGTATTGTGGCAAAACAAAAGCATTCACATTGCTAAACTCACAAACTAGTATTTGTCACTTAGTATTTAGTCAATTTACTCCACAATTTGTTATAATTTAAGGTTAAGAATTAATCTAAGTTTGCACGAAATGCCTAGCCATGCTAGGTGTGCTAGTGGCCCCCTCTGTAATTATTATTTTACTACATGTAAACCACACAATAACCAAAATCTGCATTGTAATCCTTATAGAGAATAAACTTTGATTTGATTTGATTTGATTTGATTTTGTCCTAGGCACATGTCGATTAGACACTAGCCCGCCCGCCCTTCCCTTCCCTTCCCTTCCCCTCCCTCCCCCTCCCCTCCCCCCTTCCCTCCCCTCCCCTCCCCCTTCCCTTCCCCTCCCCTCCCCTCCCTCCCTCCCTCTCCCTCCCTCAGTCCCCCTCTCTCTCTCTCTCTCTCTCTTTCTGTGTGTGTTAGTTAGTTACCATTTTGTCCTAGGCACGTGTCGATTAACACTAGCCTGTTGTATTTGCGAGTGTGTGTGTGTTGTGTGTGTGTGTGTGTGTGTGTGTGTGTGTGTGTGTACTTTACCTATTTGTACTCACCTATTTGTGGGTTGCAGGGGTTGAGTCTTAGCTCCTGGCCCCGCCTCTTCACCGGTTGCTACTGGGCCCTCTCTCTCCCCGCTCCATGAGCTTTATCAAACCTCGTCTTAAAACTGTGTATGGTTCCTTGCCTCCACTACGTCATTTTCTAGGCTATTCCACTGCCTTACAACTCTATGACTGAAGAAATACTTCCTAATATCTCTCTGACTCATTTGTGTCTTCAACTTCCAATTGTGGCCTCTTGTTTCTGTGTCCCCTCCCTGGAACATCCTGTCTTTGTCCACCTTGTCTATTCCACGCAGTATTTTATATGTCGTTATCATGTCTCCCCTGACCCTCCTGTCCTCCATGTCGTCAGGCCGATTTCCCTTAATCTTTCTTCATAGGACATTACCCTTAGCTCTGGAACTAACCTTGTCGCAAACCTTTGTACTTTCTCTAGTTTCTTGACGTGCTTTATCAAGTGGGGGTTCCAAACAGGTGCTGAACTCCATATGGCCTGACAACACGGTGTCATGTCTTGAACGATTCCTTACAAAGGGTATGGGAATGCTGTTCCAGGTTTGCCAGGGCCCCATATGCTGCAGCTTTATCTTTTTGATGTTCTTCGGGAACATGCCGGTGTTATACTCACCCCCAAGATTTTTCCCTTTGAGTGGGGTTTTTGCAGTTTTTGGGCCACCTAGCCTAACTGGGTCTTGGTCTTCGCCCCCTTTCCCCACTTCATGACTTTGCTTTTGCGGTTTAAAATTCGAGAACCATTTGCGGCCCAGGTGCCCAGTCTTCCAGGCTTTTTGAGCCCTGCCGGGGCCTCATCAATTTAATTCCCCTCATTAACTTCACATCATCTGCAAACAGGACACTTTAGTCTAACCCTTTCCCTATTCGTTCACATATACCAAAAAAGCACTGGTCCTAGACCGCCCCTTGGACCCCCCCTCGTCACAGGTCCCCTGTGATACATCATTACTACCTACTCTTGTTGTCTCCCGTCAGGTATTCTCTGATCCATTAGTGCCATTTCCCGTTTAGCCACCCCGATGCTCTAGCTTTTGCACAATCTTTGGAGGAACGTGTCCAAAGGGCCTCTTTTCAGTCCAAGAAGATGCAAACAACCCACCCCTCTTTTCGTTCTTACTTCTTTTTTTTATCATAAAACCCAGAAGGTTTTTTACCAGGGTTGCCTTCCATAATCCGTGCTGGGTTGGGATTATCCTTGTTCCGTCCCGTGCTCCACCCTCCCTCCATAATCTTCTCCATAATTTTGCAACATACACATCAAGAGAAGTCAAAGTTTTTCGTGTGT